AACCCCTAGCAACCTCTGGAGCAACCCTGGTTGAGAAACCCTGCTCTAAAGTATCAAAGTCAGACCCTAAAAATAAATCAGAGCAACTACTAATGTTAACATGTTACAAAACCCGGGGCCCTGCATTCACTATATCTAGTGTCCCACAGTACACAGAACATGGAAGTGCAATTATTTTAATAAATATAAACTGCTAAATATCTTCTCATCAGCAGAATATAGCAGTCTAGTGACTTCAGTGTCTGGCCGAGCACTGGGTTTTCATTCTCCTCTGACTGTCTTGTGAGGCTGCATGACCCTTGACCCTCTGTCCTGACAGCAATGGGTGGCCTTGTGCCGATCACATGCACCCTTCCCCCCAAAAAAAACTCTCTAGCAATGCACACCAAACAGGGCATGTGCAGACTTGCCACTGCTGCTTGTACTATGGCAGATGGATTGGGGACAGTAGAAGAAGGGGAGGATAAGAGAAGACAGGATCAATCAGCTTTTTTTTTTTTTTTTTACACAATGTGGAGGATTAACCCCTTAGATTCCACAGTGAGCATAACAAGCATGCTTTACTGAATATACAGACTGATTTTACTGTTGTGGGTTTAGTAATACTTTAATGGTTTACTGTACATTGCATTTTATATCTTTTGATATAGTCAAGCATACCAATATCACACTCCATGAGTATATATTGGAGGCAGTATCTCTTCACACTGACAAAATGTTTCTTCCTGCATTGTGCAAAGTTCATATAGGTTAATCTATTCACTCATCTGCAGTCTCTCCCTTCCCTCTAGCTCTGTTCTTGAGTCACTGCTAGATATTTACACATTCATTTTCCCAAACATCTGCAGCCTGCCTCCTTACCAACCCTGAAATCCATGTTCTTCTTTTGAGCCTGGTATCTCTAGTTCTACACAGAATTTAGCAACTTGCCAACCACATAATGCATATATGCATGTAGGCAGGTGCAAGGTACCACATCCTGGAGAGGACGACCAAGGTAAACATCCTTTCTCTATGTTTTCCTGGGTGGGTCAATGAAGCAGTGTTTTGGTTGGCTATACTGTGGCCATTTGACCCTTGGCAGCCATCTTGAGTCAGCAGGGTCTATTTAAGTCCCTTCCCCTAGAGTTTGGCGTGCTTTTGTGCGAATGGCTAATGTAGAGGGAGAAACCAGTAACTAGAGGTAGAGACAGGTTTCTGGTGGGAATGGAGAGGCTGGGGATGTGCTAACCTGACAGAGGCCCATCTTAGGCTAGGCCACACTTCCCCCTCCAAACAGCTGCTGTTGGCACCTCTCCTCAGCAGCGTATGTGACTACATTGAACTGTGAGTTATTTCCCTAAGCGACGCTCCACCACTTGATGGTTTGTAACGTTGGCATTCTGCTGAATAAAAGTTTCAAGTGTTGCTACAACCAGACTCTATGTATTTACTGCTCGTACCACACTGCACCTCCCCACATGCGGTAGCAGGAAAAGTGAGCTTTATTGCTTAGCCATCACACATTTGTGTCCGTGACTGACTGACTTACTTGCTGTGTTGAAAGTGCTCTTACTTTTATCCCCAGCACATAGACCAAAGTGTTTCTGACAGCTCTCGATCATGGCTCCTAATTGGGGTCCATCAGGACAGGCTCCCAATCATGTGACCTCTAAAGGAACCAATCACAGCAATCATGTGAGAAGTTGTGCCGGCTCCTGGCATTAAATCCTATTTAAAGGGCTGCCATGAGGCAGCAAGAAGGAGTTAAAGTTTGCTCCAAATAGGAAGATGTGTAGACAATAACAATGAGGCTATACATGTGGCATAAAAGGTTCAAGGTAAATGTCATATGCATAAAGTAGCTTACATAGTGTTCTTCCCTGCTCTAGTCTTCAGTAACATTTGAGTTTCGCTGCATTGCTCCTCCTAAGTGTTTAGGTTAGCAACATCACATTGTGGAGGGTTTCCTTTAGAAATGGAAAGTTCAAGTGTTTGACTAAGCCATGTCTTGCCTTAACGGGATCTTGACAAATCATGTAGAAGATAATCCCATTTTCAAGGGCTCAGTCTTGAAGGATATCCTTCTAGGAAGAGAACCTGTTTAGAACCATCTTGGACAAAGGAATCATGGGTGTTAAGAGTACCCTTGTCCTCCAGAAAAAGAACCTTAATGCTTCCAATGGTAGGCCTTTACCCTTTAGATCAAGAAATGTTTCTTTTTGCACCTTTCAGGCCTAAAGCTTCAGGTGAAAGCCTGAAGCACAAGTCTTTTGGTATATGTGAACTTCTAAGCTAGCCAAGCTCAGGTCCAAGCCTGTTTCCCAATGAAGAGGTGTCCTCGCTGGTCACCCTCCCCTTTGGCCTGCAGAAAGTATGGCAGCAGGCATAATGTACAGGAGGCGAATGTGGATGATATAATGGCAGATAGTATGTACAGGACAGAAGTACAGATTTTATGGCAATGGACAGTATATGGTGAAGAGTAGTGCAGAGGGCAAAACAGTAGCAAGTGTATGCAGAAGATGAATGTGGAGAGCATAACAGTGAGCAGTACATGCAGAATAGGAGTGCGGAGGGTATTACAGTTAGTCTGGCTGGAAAAAGGCAAAAGTCCATCCAGTTCAATCATAAAAAATAAAGTTATAATCCTATACCCACAAGGGATCCAGAGAAAGGCAAAAAACCCAGAAATGCATGATCCAAGTTGCTCCTGCAGGGGAAATTATTGCTTCCTGATCCCCCAAGAGGCAATCAGATATTCCCTGGAGCAACTTTACCTATAAATGTTAGTATCCAGTTATATTTGTGTATCTAAGAAAGAACCCAGGCCTTTTTTTAAAGCAATCCACTGAGCTGACCAACTCTTGCGGGAGTCTACTCCACATTTTCACAGCTCTCACTGTGAAGAAACCTTTCTGTGTTTGCAGATTACATTTCTTTTCCTCCAGACGTAAAGAGTGCCCCCTTGTCCTCTGTGAATAACTCTACACCGAGTTTACTATATGAACCACTGATGTATTTATACATGGAGATCATATCCCCCCTTATGTATTATACATGAGATCATATCCCCCCTTATGTATTATACATGGAGATCATATCCCCCCTTATGTATTATACATGGAGATCATATCCCCCCTTATGTATTATACATGGAGATCATATTCCCCCCTTATGTATTATACATGGTGATCACATCCCCCCTTATGTATTATACATGGTGATCATATCCCCCCTTATGTATTATACATGGAGATCATATCCCCCCTTAATCTCCTCTTCTCAAGAGAGAATAAATTCAGTTCCTCTAATCTTTCCTCATAGCTGAGCTCCTCCATGCCTCTTATCAGTTTGGTTGCTCTTCTCTGCACTTTCTCCATTTCCCCAATGTTCTTTTTGTGAATTGGTGCCCAAAACTGAACTGCATATTCCAGATGAGGTCTTACTAATTATTTGTACCGGGGTAATATGATATCTCTCTCTTTGGAGTCTATACCTCTTTAATTACAAGAGAGGATTTTGCTTGCTTTAGAAACCACAGCTTGGCATTGCATGTCATTATTACGGTGGTTTGCAGGTGCATGAGAAAAGTGTTTAGGGTATGTGCAAGAAAGGAATGCAAAGCAAATCACAGTAGTAGTAAGTTATGGAGAAGAGTGTTGCGAGTATGATGGCAGGAAGAATATACTAAATAGAAAGGCAAAACGAATGATGGCAAGCAGTATGTGCAGGAGAGGAGAAGGAAGGGTGAGGAAGATGGACAGGAATATTTGTCAATGGAGAGGTGAGCAAGAATGCCAGTCCTCAAGGCGATGAATGTCTACAAGTAGAGGGGATTGAAGTTAAGCATCTAGGAAGAAGGGAGTGCATTTCGAGTGTTAAGGTGTAGAGACAGGTAACAGGTTGCATTGTTAGGTTGGGTGTTTGTTGTGAGGAGAAGGTAGGTGGCTAGGAAGTGATGCTCCATTAGCTGGGGTGGTGAGGCAGCCAGGGATGTCTGTCTAACAGCAGAATCTACAGCGGGTGCTGTCAATGCACAGGAGGAGGGGGAAATAAAGTGTGTTGTGAGTGAGGGAGTGATGGCTGGGGAGTGATGTGTACTATATAATGTCTACGGTGGGAGTAATATGCACACTGTGAGTATGGGTGAGGGCATGGTGTCAGCATGTGGGGGGAGGTATAGGATAGGGACGAGCTTTGAGGGTAAGGGGAGTGCTTTTGAAGAAGATGTGCTGTGCCACAGTAGGAATGGTATGTGCTGACAGGTGAGTAGTGAGGAATGCATGTGCTGTAGGTGGGTTTGAGGGCACAGTGTGAGTGTGGGGTGATTGGGATGTGGATGTGCTGCTAGCACTCTTAACAGGGGTAGATGGCTGTTGATAGATGTGCCAGATATCTGATATAAAGCAAAGAATTAGGACGGGGGGGAGAGATTTGCTGGAGTTCTGCTATGGGGATTTTGTACTACTTCAAACATTGCAGAAGGCAGCAACCACATAATGGTGGTAAGTATGCATTTTAGGATATGGAATGTAGGGTACTTTAATCAATTGCCCTCCAGCGGATTTACCCCCCTTCCTGACAAAGCCATTTTTTGTGTTACGGCGCTGCGTTACTTTAACTTACAATTGTGCGGTCATGTGATGCTGCACCCAAATGAAATTTACATCCTTTTTTTCCACACAATTAGAGCTTTCTTTTGGTGGTATTTGATCGCCTGTGTGCTTTTTATTTTTTGCGCTATAAAAAAAATACTGACAATTTTGAGAAAAAAAACATTATTTTTAACCTTTTACTATTAAACATGTCCAGTAAAAAAAATTTAAAAATCAAAGTTCGTCATAAATTTAGGGGTCAAAATGTATTCTGCTACATGTCTTTGCTAAAAAAAAAAATCCCAATATGTGTAAATTAATTGGTTTACGTGAAATGTATAATGTTTACAAATGGCGGTATATACAGTATACTGGGATTTTATTATTTTTTTTTTTATACTAGTAATGGCGTCGATCAGCGACTTATAGTGGGACTGCGGTGGGCATTCTGACACTGGGGGGAACTGACTTGGTGTCACTGACATCCCCAGTGACACCAATACAGTAATCAGTGCTAAAAAAAACCACTGACACTGTACTAATGGCACTGGGCAGGAAGGGGTTAACATGAGGGGCATTCAAAGGGTTAACTGTGTGCTGTTTTACTGTAAGCTGTGTCTGTGGTTTCAACTGCAAGCACACTGCTTTGTATGGCTCTGCTATGCAGAGCCATACAAAGCAGTGTTCCGGAGCCAACAGGGGAGATAACTGTATTTTTTCCATATAGTTTTCTCCCCCCATCGGTAATGCTCAGCGACCACCGGGTGCCGGCGAATAATCACTGGCTGGGACCCAGTGCTTGACAGCTGGGTCGGGAATAGCAGTGCAGGCAGGACTCGTGCGCAGCTCACGCATGCCCCCTACCCGGGAATGCAAAATCACGTATATATACAGGTGATTTTGCACATCCCTGCCACCCTGTAGCAGTATATCTTCTATAGGGCAGCGGGAAAGTGGTTAAGGAAGCTAAGGGTGGGTGGAGGAGGGCAGGGGCAAAAGGATAAGTACACTTAAAAATTTCACTTAACTTTTAATGCAGGGTGGATGCCCACATGCGCAAGTGGTGTGAGATGGAATTTCACGGGGGTGCTACAAAGAGTGGCTTGTGTGCCTTGAGCATTGGCAGTAGGTGGTTGTATTGTATAGATAGTAATCTAGTTGTTTGTTTTATCAAAAGGAGAAAATAACAGAATTAATATAAAAGTAAAGTAAGTACGTAATTGTCAGAGTATTGCTTTTAAAACCATTATAATGCAACATCATGATTGTATACTGTTTAAATTCATACATGTATATTGTTTCACTCGAAAAACGTAAAGAATATTTTGCTGCTGGACACCTAAAGATTTCAGAAGAATGGCTTATGAATCCATTTTCTTAAATGTTGGAGTAAATGTCAGATGATGAAGAACTGAAGGAAGCTCTGATTACTTTGTGGACAAATCGAGCTATTGAAATGTAATTTGAATGCAACTTTGGAGGAGTTTTGATGTACAACCCTAGATATGTTACCAAGACATGGTGGTCCTCATTCCATTGCAACAACATACCTGTCAATATTTGCTTTTTGTCATTCAAGAAAAAATCTCTGAATTGCCTAAATCCAGAATCAGACCTGTGGATTGTAGTCAGCCAGAAAGCTCCAACTTTTGACAAAATCATGAATAAAAAGCAGGAGCAAAAAAGACATTGGATTTTATGTCTGCAATTGGGATTGATTTTGCCTTTTTTTTCTGAATAAACTAATTGCTCAATTTATATTTGCATTTTATGCACTGAATTAACAGCTTTTTTTTTAAGTTCAATTTGTTCACTTGCAGTATTGTACTGTATGTGGTTCAATTTATGTTTAAAAAATTAGAAATTAGACGTCTTCATCATCAAATGTGATATTACTGTTGTAGAGTCTGAAAACATTCATTACCCTGGTGTGTGGGGCATAGAAAAGGTTGGGAAACACTGCTTTAATGACTGTCATTAAAACAAGAGATGCCACCATCCACCATATTTCTATCCTTACAGCACTTTTTTCTAGTTTATTCTCATTGCATTGATTACAATCTAATTTTCAAGTTGATTTTTTAGTTGTATGTTACACCTCAACTAACCAACTTACATCTGTAGAGGACCATGAGCTATCTTGAAAATGAGCTCCACAAAGATGTATTATGCTTTAAAGATGCAACAAAATAAAGATAAAAGCTAACTGTGAAAAGGCGCTATCGCATTAATAGAAAAAGGAAATGTCAGCAACAAGGTGAAATACAAGGTGAAAAAAAATTCTTTATTCTATGCAAGGAGAAAAATATTTCATAGAGCAACCAATGCTGGAGAATTTCTAACCAGGTAGCAACACCTTACCTTTGTCTTGTCTACTATTATTATTATTATTATTATTATACAGTATTTATAAAGCGCCAATAGCGCTGTACATTTCAAAGGGGGACAGACAGAACATGTGACAGAACAACAACAATACAATGCAAAACATGAGGGGATCGAGGGCCCTGCTCTTTCGAGCTTACAATCCATTAATACCTTGTGCTTTACAACCATTCATCTTACAGGTGTTGCTGGCTATCTAATACTTTATTTGCAACAGTAATGTCAATGTATCCTAATTAATATCTTAAATATGATTATCTACTATGTCTTTATGCAATTAATGTGCACTGTTGGTTCAATAACCTCAACCTTAATCAAAATTTATTGAATCATAAAAACAATAGATGGCACCAAACAGATGCCTTGATAGTGGTGGAGACATTATGTCATACTGTCATGGCGCACTAGCACTGTTCATAGAGGAGCAAGGCTTGACATGCTGGAATGCAGTGGTATGGCATGGGAAATTTCCACTAAGCCTGCACATCAATACATTTTGAAATGAAATAATACTAATCTGTGGTGAATATATTGTAAATCAGAATAAACCCTGTTTGCTACTACTTACAGCCATAGATGGGGCAGTGCTAATAATGATGTAAATAAAAAGAAAAAAACGGGAAAAGGAGCCCACTGGCATAGGGGTAATGATGTAATTTGGTTTCAGTTTTGTTTATACATATACATAGTCAGTACATTGTATTTGACATGTATAAATATTATTGACATATACAATGGTTTGGGACCTTGCTGGACCCCTTTCTCAAGGTAACAAACATCATGCCTGCCTCTTTGAAAAGGGGCCAGAGAGGCCCCACAACATCACTTTTTGCTTTCTTTTTGCACTTTATCGTTAAGCACTTTATACATGTGAAACTCAATATACATTTTTATTCTGAGGGCTCATTTTTGGCATGCTATCTATCTCATGGATAAGCAATAAATTGGTGTCACAGTTGACCATGCACCCCTTTTGAGGGCAGAAAAGGGTCTGGTGTTAGAAGAATTGATCTGCAGTTTTAAGTTTGAAGCCCAGCCTTGGTGGAAACCATGACTCCTTCCATTGATACATTAGAGCAGGGCTTGAAAAAGCCGCTCACCAAATGCGAGGAGAAATTCCTCTGTGGCGAGCGGCTGCGAGCGGTGAGCACAGATGAAGCTTGGAGCGACTGCACCTGCGCTCCAAGCCTCATTGTGAAGCCGAGCTCCGGTTTACAACTTCCGCTTCCGGTTTCCGGCTTCTGCGGCACCACCGCCAAGGGGACACGTGCAGGAGAGGTCCGCGCTCCTCCGCTGAGAGGAGACACCCTCTCCACCACCGCAGGGGACAGTAAGTACTGTATACAACATGTCCTATCACTATAATGGAGTACACGCTGGAGCTGGATATACATTACTCAGTAATGTATATCCCAGCTCCCCTGTACTCCATTATAGTGATATGACATGTATGCAGTAATGTATATCCCCCCTCCCCTGTACTCCATTATAGTGATATGACATGTATGCAGTAATGTATATCCCAGCTCCCCTGTACTCCATTATAGTGATATGACATGTATACAGTAATTTATATCCCAGCTCCCAGTGATATGACATGTATACTCCATACTATATTGATAGTGATATGACATGTATACAGTAATGTATATCCCCCCTCCCCTGTACTCCATTATAGTGATATGACGTGTATGCAGTAATGTATATCCCCCTCTCCCCTGTACTCCATTATAGTGATATGACATGTATGCAGTAATGTATATCCCAGCTCCCCTGTACTCCATTATAGTGATATGACATGTATACAGTAATGTATATCCCAGCTCCCCTGTACTCCATTATAGTGATATGACATGTATACAGTAATTATATCCCAGCTCCCTGTACTCCATTATAGTGATATGACATGTATACAGTAATGTATATCCCCCCTCCCCTGTACTCCATTATATGTGATATGACATGTATACAGTAATGTATATCCCCCCTCCCCTGTACTCCATTATAGTGATATGACGTGTATACAGTAATGTATATCCCAGATCCCCTGTACTCCATTATAGTGATCTGACGTGTATACAGTAATGTATATCCCCCCTCCCCTGTACTCCATTATAGTGATATGACATGTATACATTAATGTATATCCCAGCTCCCCTGTACTCCATTATAGTGATATGACATGTATACAGTAATGTATATCCCAGCTCCCCTGTACTCCATTATAGTGATATGACATGTATACAGTAATGTATATCCCCCCTCCCCTGTACTCCATTATAGTGATATGACATGTATACAGTAATGTATATCCCAGCTCCCCTGTACTCCATTATAGTGATATGACATGTATACAGTAATGTATATCCCAGCTCCCCTGTACTCCATTATAGTGATATGACATGTATACAGTAATGTATATCCCCCCTCCCCTGTACTCCATTATAGTGATATGACATGTATACAGTAATGTATATCCCAGCTCCCCTGTACTCCATTATAGTGATATGACATGTATACAGTAATCATTACTGTATACATGTCATATCACTATAATGGAGTACAGGGGAGCTGGGATATACATTACTGTGTACAGTTTTATATTTCAGACTATTTATTCTTAAGAAAAATGTAATTTCATAAGCTTTAAGGGGGCGTGGTTTTGGGGGCAGGCCGGGGGTGGGGTTGGGGGTGGACCTGAGCAAGGTTGGGTGGGGCAACTGGTGGTGAGTAAGTTTTGTGACTGGCTAGTAGGTCTGGACTCGAAATTTTAACCCCTGCATTAGAGGAATGAATAAATAAAATAAAATACAACAATGTGCGCTAACTTGTGAATGAGCTACTAAAATAGAGCCGCTGCAATAACACTTAAAAGGTGATTCCACACTTAAAACATAAAACATATATAAATATTGTTGCGCTAACTCATATATACATAATAGTCCATAATATGTATTAGAGGAATTAATGTTGTCCCCTTAAGATGTTGTATTCTCAGGATCATAAGGTAAAAATAAAATAAAAAGGCCTGAAAAAAAAAGAAACTAATGCAGCCACCACACATCTAAAGAACTGGTAAACTGCAATATATTAATTTTTTTTGGGGGGGTTAGAAACGCTTTAAGTTGTAAGCTTGTTTCAATGCTGGCACTGAAAATGAAATACATAAAAGCTTTTCACTGATAAATCAATTTATCAATATGAGATAAATATAAAAAAAAACAAACTACTTTCTATGTATAGTTTGCATACCATACGTACAAGAGCTCAGTCATATTTGCTTTTCCCTTATCAGGTGGAGTGTTGTCTGCTTAGTTGTGCTATACAGGCCATTATCCTCCCATTTGATACAGAATAATAATGTAATCAGCACTGGATCATGTAAACCAGCTCATTTAGAAGAAAAAAAAAACCTATGTACAGTTCATAAATACAGGTATAGTAACGCAAAAGAAACCACCGAACATTTCCTGACATTTTTACATATAACTTTCAC